CGAGGGGGAAATCACTTGCGAAATAGTTCGTACACCTTTCCGCGAAATACTCCGAAATAAAGGCGAAATAGAGGCGAAATAGAGCGAAATAAAGACGAAATAGGCGCGAAATAGTCGGTGAAATAGTCGCGAAATACCCCTGCAATACTGCGAAATAGCGCGAAATAGCCTGAAATAATCCGAAATAGGCGGGAAATAGCCGAAATGGCATAAGAAATAACCGAAATGGTAGGAGAAATACCACGAAATAGTCCGTACGCTACGAACCCTAGTGATTTCCCCCTCGCCGGGGAGCTCGTTCACGGCGACGAACTGGTGCACGACGTGAACGCCGTGCCCACAGTTGGAGAGAACCAAGCGCCGAGGAAGGGCCGGCGGCACTCGCATGTCCCGGTACGTGTATATGATGTCTAGATCTGGAATGCACAGGTAGCACTGATTATAATTAACGCGGGTTTCTTCTGTCAGCTCTTGAGTGCGCCTGCAGGGGAGCTTCGAACGTCCATGGCGGTGCACATCACCCACATGCAGCAACATGCAGCACTACCTCATGGGCACCCTGATAGGAGCGCCGACGCCGAACTCAAATTCCGCATGCAGCAGTCGTACACGGCACGACACAACTGGATGTGGGAGGACCCAAGGCCCACCTGGCAGCAGGTACTCGAAGAGTACCCACTTCTCAAGGAGCCTTGGCATGTAAGTCGCCTATATGACACTGACTTGACAGTCGGGTCGTAGCCTACCATTTGCAATGCCTTCCAATACAGTATATCGCAGTTATTACAATTTAAAATTGACTGTTGCAGCTTAAGCACGAATTCGAGAGGACCAGGCCGGGAATGTGGCAGGGAGGGGCCGTGGAGTACATGAAGAACGGCAAGGCGGAGCGAGTAGTGGAAGTCATCCTGGCCGCGAATGTCAGCGACGCAACCTGCAAGGCGCAGGTTACCGCAGTGAGGCAAGCGGCGGAGGGCGAGGGGGAAATCACTAGCATTCGTTGCGTACGGACTATTTCGTTGTATTTCTCCTACAATTTCGGTTATTTCTCCTGCCATTTCGGCCATTTCCCGCCTATTTCGGGTTATTTGAGGATATTTCGCGCTATTTCGGAGCATTTCAGGGGTATTTCGCGACTATTTCACAGACTATTTCGCGTCTATTTCGTGTTTATTTCGCTCTATTTCGCCTCTATTTCGCCTTTATTTCGCACTATTTCGGGGAGAGGTGTACGAACTATTTCGCAAGTGATTTCCCCCTCGGCGGAGGGCAGGGAGGAGGGTGAGTCCCATGCAGCCCTATAAGTGCATTTGGTGTCCGGTATGGTGTGTAATTGTAATTTTATGTTTCAGAACGCGACTTGTGGGCGGCAGTGGCGTGCTTGCCGTACCTCGCAAAGGAGGACTCAAAGGCGTGGCTCGTAGCTAATGCGGTATGTGTAGACGAGGGGAGAACCGTAGCGCAGCGTCCATACACGGCTACGACCACTGTATTTACATCCGCTAACTGTATTAATTACTTTCCAGCCGCTCCCACGTGGACAGCCGTGCGTCGTCATGACGCTGCAGCCGGGAGTCGGCGGCAGCCACGTCGGGGCAACATTCAAGCCATACATGGACGGTATCGTGATATGCGATGAAGCAAACATGTCAATGGTGGAGTGTTTCGAGGTGTTAGCCCAGGCCATCCATATCGCTGGGGTAGAGTTCAGCAAAAAGACCAAGAAGTGCTGGTGGATGCTGTGTGAGGATATCCTGAAAGTAAAGGATGCTTCCTCTACATCGCACCTCAGCCGCCCCCTCCGAACCGCACGGCACCTCCTGAATACTGCTTAAAGTGTTCCTGATGATTTATTTAAGTTGTAAGTGCTCCGACAGCCTCCATTTACTGTATAGACGGCTCGTGCCCCTTTACAACTCTGTTAATCCCCCTAACGTGTTCCTTAGAGTTCGAGGCTGTATATGTCAACTTTAGATTGTAAATGTCATTTTAAATGGCGTTTTACATGGCAAACTAGTGTAATTGCAGGTAAATGAATCGAACTCTACATTTGTGACTGATTTACGACTGTAGTGCTATATTTTAAGTAGCAAAGTAGTGTTTGAACCTCATGTACCACTAATTGCCATTTTAATTCACAAACATGTGTACAGTCCTCTACGGTAGACGGTTGGTTCCCCTTTAAAACTCTGTAAATCCCCCTAATGTTTTCCTCACAGTCCGAGGCTGCATATGTCGAATTTTGATTTTAAATGGCTAACTTGTGTTATTCTAGGTACATGAATCGACATCTACGTTTGCCTCAAGTGAATGATTTATGATTTTAGTGCTATATTTCGAATTGCAAAGTAGTGCAAGTGTACGTAACTTCAGCGACCTCTAATTCCCATTCGCCTCAAGTGACTGATTTTTATTGTTTGTGGCATTTGGGCACATTAATGTACAAACATGTGTGTACAGTCCTGCTTAATCATGCCGAAATCAAAGGCTTTAATAAATTCTGAGGCACATGCAATAATTGTTAATCTTGTTCCGATCGATTTGCGAAGTGGGTCCTATCCTCCGAAGCTGACATTCCATATGTAATATTTGTGACGGTCTCCTGATGATTGAGCTTGCGCATAAGTGTTCAGCCCATCCTGATAAAACTGCATTACTGTCATAACTGCAGGCTTAACAGGAGGAGCTGGACCACCTGCTAACTCGAGCATGCGTTGTTTGCCTTGGTCCTCTCTACGTTGATGCGACGTTGCACTGAGTCCTCGTTGCGCAGACGTCTTGGGGATGAAAGTACACTGAAAAGGGTAATTAAATGCAGGCAACATGGGCATTACAGTACTGTTCACAGGGGGACCACTATACAGCACAGGGGGCAACAGAAATACCCACGAAAGGGGGACGGATATACTGCGCACAGGGCGACTAAAGTACCGCTGCAAGGGGTACAGGCAGACTGCACACACGGGGATCGGCATACCGCTCCAATGGGTACGGTCGTACCCCGCCGCGCCGTACAAAGTGACGGATTACGCGGTACATGCGTCCCCCACCGCGCAGGGCGGGGTGACACAGTAACAGGGACTTACGTACCCTAACACGCAGTACAAACGTACTCAGTAAGCGGTTCATGCGTCCCCCTCCGCGCAGGACGGGGA